GGATAAGTGTTATCTAGCAAGCAAGTTTTTATTCTTGGCACTGTGTTGTTAAATGAACCTTAAAACAAATCAATAGGGAAGATATGCACAGAATGTGTGACCTTGACCTTGGTCGCAGGGACCTGAATTTTATGCACGGCACTCAGCCTCACAATGATGAACATTTGTGCCAAATTATATTGAAATCCCTCTATGCATGTAGAAGTTTTGCTCCAGACAAGTGTTTTTCTATGAGCTCTAACTGTGACCTTCACCTTTGACCTAGAGACTTGGTTTATGTGCAGGGCACTACGTCTCATGGTGGTGAACAATTCTATAAAAGTAACATTAAAAATCCTCCATGCATGTAGAAAATATGCTCCGGACAACATCTGGATATTTAATCATCTCCAGTGACCTTGACCTTGCAAATATTAACCTAAACAAGATATGTTTGTAAAACATGTATGCCCCCTATCAGCAGCCAATTATTCATGTGATAAGGTAATTATGCATGACTTCTGACCCAGTGATCAAACAATTAATAAGGGTTATCAAGTATCTACTGGTCATGACCTTGACCTTTGACCCCTTGACCCAAAACTCAATAGGGGTCATCTGCTGGTCAAGACAAATCATCATACAAAGTTTGAAGTTCCTAGGCCTAAGCGTTTTTACTTAATTGATCAGAAACCGTTTTTACTTACAAGGTCAATGTGACCTTGACCTTTGACCCTTGACCCCAAAATCAATAGGGGTCATTTGCTGGTCATGACTAATCACCATGCCAAGTTTGAAGTTCCTAGGCCTAAGTGTTCTTTTATTATTGATCCGAAACCGTTTTAACATACAAGGTCAATGTGACCTTGACCTTTGACCCCAAAATCAATAGGGGTCATCTGCTGATCATGACCAATCACTATGCCAAGTTTGAAGTTCCTAGGCCCAAGTGTTCTTTAGTTATTGATCAGAAACCGTTTTTTACTTACAAGGTCAATGGGACCTTGACCTTTGACCCCTTGATCCCAAAATCGAAAGGGGTAATCTGCTGGTCATGAAAAATCACCATACCAAGTTTGAAGTTCCTAGGCCTAAGCGTTCTTAAGTTATTGATCAGAAACCGTTTTTACTTACAAGGTCGATGTGACCTTGACCTTTGACCCCTTGACCCAAAACTCAATAGGGGTCATCTACTGATCATGACCAATCACCATACCAAGTTTGAAGTTCCTAGGCCTAAGGGTTCTTTAGTTATTGATCCGAAACTGTTTTTACCTAAGAGGTCAATGTGACCTTGACCTTTGACCCCTTGACCCCAAAATCAATAGGGGTCATCTACTGATCATGACCAATCACCATATCAAGTTTGTAGTCCCTAGGCCTAAGGGTTCTTTCGTTATTGATCGGAAACCGTTTTTACCTACAAGGTCAATGTGACCTTGACCTTTAACCCCTTAACTCCAAAATCAAAAGGGGTCATCTACTGATCTTGACCAATCACCATATCAAGTTTGAAGTCACTAGGCCTAAGGGTTCTTTCGTTATTGATCGGAAACCGTTTTTACCTACAAGGTCAATGTGACCTTGACCTTTGACCACTTAACCCCAAAATCAATAGGGGTCATCTGCTGGTCATAACCAATCACCATACCAAGTTTGAAGTTCCTAGGCCTAAGGGTTCTTTTGTTATTGATCGGAAACTGTTTTTACCCAAGAGGTCAATGTGACCTTGACCTTTGACCCCAAAATCGTTAGGGGTCATCTACTGATCATGACCAATCACCATACCAAGTTTGAAGTTCCTAGGCCTTAGGGTTCTTTACTTATTGATCGGAAACCGTTTTTGCTTACAAGGTCAATGTGACCTTGACCTTTGACCCCTTGACCCCAAAATCAATAGGGGTCATCTACTGATCATGACAAATCACCATACCAAGTTTGAAGTTCCTAGGCCTTAAGGTTCTTTAGTTATTGATCGGAAACCGTTTTTGCTTACAAGGTCAATGTGACCTTGACCTTTGACCCCTTGCCCCCAAAATCAATAGGGGTCATCTACTGATCATGACAAATCACCATACCAAGTTTGAAGTTCCTAGGCCTTAAGGTTCTTTAGTTATTGACCGGAAACCGTTTTTGCTTACAAGGTCAATGTGACCTTGACCTTTGACCCCTTGCCCCCCAAATCAATAGGGGTCATCTACTGATCATGACAAATCACCATACCAAGTTTGAAGTTCCTAGGCCTTAAGGTTCTTTAGTTATTGATCGGAAACCGTTTTGCTTACAAGGTCAATGTGACCTTGACCTTTGACCCCTTGACCCCCAAAATCAATAGGGGTCATCTACTGATCATGACCAATCACCATTACCAAGTTTGAAGTTCCTAGGCCTTAAGGTTCTTTAGTTATTGATCGGAAACCGTTTTTGCTTACAAGGTCAATGTGACCTTGACCTTTGACCCCTTGCCCCCAAAATCAATAGGGGTCATCTACTGATCATGACCAATCACCATACCAAGTTTGAAGTTCCTAGGCCTTAAGGTTCTTTAGTTATTGACCGGAAACCGTTTTTGCTTACAAGGTCAATGTGACCTTGACCTTTGACCCCTTGCCCCCCAAATCAATAGGGGTCATCTACTGATCATGACAAATCACCATACCAAGTTTGAAGTTCCTAGGCCTTAAGGTTCTTTAGTTATTGATCGGAAACCGTTTTTGCTTACAAGGTCAATGTGACCTTGACCTTTGACCCCTTGACCCCAAAATCAATAGGGGTCATCTACTGATCATGACCAATCACCATACCAAGTTTGAAGTTCCTAGGCCTTAAGGTTCTTTAGTTATTGATCGGAAACCGTTTTTGCTTACAAGGTCAATGTGACCTTGACCTTTGACCCCTTGACCCCAAAATCAATAGGGGTCATCTACTGATCATGACCAATCACCATACCAAGTTTGAAGTTCCTAGGCCTAAGGGTTCTTTAGTTATCACTCGGAAACCATTTGGTCTACGGACCGACAAGTGCAAAGCAATATACCCCCTTTTTTTCAAAAGGGGGCATAATTAAATGTGTAACACCTGTAGTCATGATAGTTACCATTTGTGCTACAATCCATCAATAAATGGTGACTAAATGGTCCCTATAACCATCTTCAAATTTTTATCTGAACTTTGACCTCTATGTGTAACCTTGACTTTGGTCGCAGGGATCTGAATTTTGCATGCGACACTCAGCCTCACAATGGTGAACATTTGTGCCAAGTTATATTGAAAACCCCCTATGAATGTAGAAGTTTTGCTCCGGACAAGCGTTTTTCAATAAGCTCTAAGTGTGACCTTGACCTTTGACCTGGAGACCTGGATCATGCATGGAGCAATACATATCATGGTGGTGAGCATTTCCATAAAGTATTATAAAAATTCTTCCATACATGTAGGAGATATGCTCCAGACAAAATCTGGATATTTCACCATCTTTAGTGACCTTGACCTTGCATATATTGACCTAAAAAGTACATGTGTCACAGCCGTAGTCATTATAATGACCATTTGTGTTACAATCCCTCAATAAATGATGATTAAATCGTCCCTATACACATCTTCATATTTTTATCTTTTTTTTAAACGGGCGTATAAAAAGTACATGTAATTTAATAACTAAAAATTTCTGATTTAAGATTTTATTCTAGGGAAATACATTTCATTACAATTCTTAATCTTTGAATGAGCTGAACTGATATTTACTTGAAAATCAAAATATAATTAAATTTCTATGAGAAAGTATTTACATTTGATAAGGTAATTACTGTATGATCTTTATGAACAAATACCAAGTCTACAGAACACCATAGTTATCACAGTTAAGTATCTTGACCAATGAATGAAACATGTGTAAATAAATGTTACAATCTTACAACATACTCAAGTCCAAGAAAGAGGATTATTTCATGCCCTTTGATTAAATTCTATTTTTAGAAAATAGATCAAGGGGAGTAATTGTGTAAGTCATTTATGAACAAAGTAATAACTTTGTTGTCTCCCTTTGATTAAATTCTATTTACAAAATCTGGATATTTCATCATCTTTAGTGACCTTGACCTTGTATATATTGACCTAAAAATTATATGTATCACAGCCATAGTCTTGATAATGACCATTTGTGTTACAATCCCTCAATAAATGATGACTAAATGGTCCATATACACATCTTCATATTTTTATCTGAACTTTGACCTCTAAGTGTGACCTTGACCTTGGCCGCAAGGACCTGAATCTTGCACGCGACACTCCGCCTCACAATGGTGAACATTTGTGCCAAGTAATATTGAAATCCCTCTATACATGTGGAAGTTTTGCTCCGGACAAGCATTTTTCAATGAGCTCTAAGTGTGACCTTGACCTTTGACCTAGAGACCTGGTTCATGTGCGCGACACTGCTCCTCATAGTGGTGAACATTTATATGAAGTTTCATTAAAATCCCTCCATACATGTAGGAGATATGCTCCGGACAAAATTGGACGCCGCCCGCCCGCCCCGCCGCCCGCCAGGGGCGTTCCCATAATACGTCCCGTTTTTCAAACGGGCGTATAAAAATGTTTGGAGGGAACGCCGTGTTTTTCTTACCAATTCGAGAGTGTTATTTTCAGAGTAAAAAAACCTAAAAATTCCATACATCTATTTAATTCATTTTTATTTCCGAGGCACTCATAGAAAGCTTATTGAGTAATCTTTCATTTGATACCAATAATATTGGACTTTTTATAGATCTGAAATAAACTAGAACTGCCATTATCATGGCGTGAATACCCCCGCACACCACTTTGTCAGAATCAACAGTGGCCATTTAGAGCTCAAGGACAACCTCCCTGCCAAATCTGAGGTTACTAAGCCAGTGCATTGCTAAGTTATGTATTCTACATGCTTCAAATGTGAAAATGTCAAAATCAATACATTGCGGACAGGACATTCTTTAACAATTAAGAAGAAAAGCTTTTTTGTCAAGGTCCCTGTGACCTTGAACTTTGACCCAGTGACCTCAAAATCAATAGGGGTCACCTTATAGTCATGATCAACATCCATGCCAAATATGAAGACTGTGGGTCATAAATGGGTGGACAAACTTTTTGAAGTCAAAGTCCCTGTGACCTTGACCTGGTCACCTCAAAATCAATAGGGGCCATCTACAAATCATGACTAACCTCCATTCCAAATATGAAGACTGTGGGTCAAAGGAATCTTAAGTTATTGGGCGGACAAGCTTTTTGAAGTCAAGGCCCCTGTGACCTTGACCTTTGACCTGGTGACCTCAAAATCAATAGGGGTCATCTACTAATCATGACTAACCTCGATTCCAAATATGAAGACTGTGGGTCAAAGGAATCTTAAGTTATTGGGCGGACAAGCTTTTTGGAGTCAAGGCCACTGTGACCTTGACCTTTGACCTCAAAATCAATAGGGGTCATCTACTAATCATGACTAACCTCCATGCTAAATATGAAGACTATGGGTCAAAGGAATCTTAAGTTATAGGGCGGACGAGCTTTTTGAAGTCAAGGCCCTGTGACCTTGACCTTTGACCTGGTGACCTCAAAAAATCAATAGGGGTCATCTACTAATCATGACTAACCTCCATACCAAATATGAAGACAGTGGGTCATAGGAATCTTAAGTTATTGGGCGGACAAGGTTTTGAAGTCAAGGCCCCTGTGACCTTGACCTTCACCTGGTGACCTCAAATCAATAGGGGTCATCTACTAATCATGACTAACCACCATGCCAAATATGAAGACAGTTGGTCATAGGAATCTTAAGTTATTGGGCGGACAAGGATTTTGAAGTCAAGGGCCCTGTGACCTTGACCTTTGACCTGGTGACCTCAAAATCAATAGGCGTCATCTACTAATCATGAGTAACCACCATGCCAAATATGAAGGCTGTGGGTCATAGGAATCTTAAGTTATTGGGCGGACAAGAAAAAACCGACGGACGGCCAGACGGACAAGCTGATTCCAGTATACCCCCCTTACAACTTTGTTGTGCGGGGTATAAAAAGTTAGAATGGACGCCGTGTTTTCCTTCACTTTACTGAGAAATAGGAGAGAGGCGATGGGTATTATACCTGTCCGTACATGTCCGTGATAGAAGATCGCAAATACTCAGAGGCGGGGCGTCATGCATGACTTAGAATCGTCTAACTTTGTGAATCTACTTTTGTCATTTTAAACATGTAACTGTGTAAACGTACTGTTGTAGTTCTACGACTGGAACACGTTTTATTAAATTATATTTTCTGCATTCGAGTTTTACATTTCATTTGTGTTTTTCAGGTACAGATATATATATCTACAAGTGTGTAAACATGCTTATGTATTATATGCAATGGTAGATACGAACTTGTAAATGTGTTGTTGTTCTCCATGTTAGGTCAGTTGTTAAGATTTACATGTAAACGTGTTATTTAAAAGCGGGTGCCTTCAATTAAAAAATTGGATTAAGAGGCATATCATTTGCTGTGCACGAATGCAATAAAAAATGCTAGACATACATGTTCGCATTTTCAAAAGTAGTTTCCAAAAGGAACACATTACATGTCTGGAATTTTGGCAATGATCGCCCTCCATAGTAGGGAACGTCCACCAATAATCGTGCCAGGAATCTGACACGCTCGTATTCATTTATCGAACATGCCATGAAGTAAAGTGAAGCATACCTTGATAAAACTTTATATAATCTGTTGTGGACAAATTAAAATCTTATTACGGACATAAACTACCAAATAGTTTCCGACAGGTAAAATTTTTGGCACTTGGCCGCCATATTGCCAAAATGTTTGACCACATGATTATGAGATTGACCTTTATGAACCCATGTGCTTCCAATATTTTTATAAATTATTTTTTTTAAGATATTGAAAAAGGTGATTTCAGGACTCAGCATTTTCAGACTGGGGCCAGGGTCCATGCAGAGGGGGAATTTTGCATGATTTTCAGATATATTTCATTCAAGGGGGATTTTTTTTTCCCGGTAAGACTTGAAATTGTGCGACATGTTGGAATGCTAAAAACTGTACACTCACAACCTTTTCAATTTCTGTTTGTAATTGAGTGTAATTCTGAGTACTTTTATAATAATTAACTACTCCTTAATTTTTTATAAACTAAGCAATCTAAACAATCTACATCCTAATATAAGTTTTTAATAGAGGGCCGAGTTGACCCGTGCCGAGTTGACCCTTTACCAAAGTATGACGGCCCCTGCTATAGAAGGAAAAAAAGTCCAGACTTGTAAATTAAGTCAACGAAAATACTCAAAAACAACCTTTTAATTACAAAGTAATTGTCTTTTATTACATGATTAACACAAAATATATCAATGGTTTGAAGAGTGAACTGGTCAACAGTTTTCCCGTTCCGAATTAGTAAAGGGACGAGTTGAGAGCACGTGTTATTTTTAACTGCAAAATATATCGAAGAAATTGACATTTCTCCACATATATTTTCTTATATATTTTGACAAAACATATTAGAATGACAAATGATATATTTATATGTATATTCAGCTAAGTAATTACTTTCAAATATAGGAAAAATATACTTTTTAAGTCGTTCGACACGAAACGCAGTCACACCAAACACAAGATGGATGACGAAAGGAAGCACATGGGCCGAGACTCTTTAAACTTGAAATATTTTACTGAATAATCATCAAAATGTAACAAAAATAGTAGAAATCATTTATTATTTTAAATACACATAATAATGATACACAAAAAGTATTGTCATCTTATAAAATTATGAATTTACACCATAGTGTTATTTAGAGATTATTTTAATTTGAAAAACCTTTACCATACTAGTGAGTACAGAACATCAATTGATAAGTATTAGCCAGTATTTAAACAAGTAAAATGGTTCCCTGCGGTGAACTTTTTAATGATATAAAGATATTTCATTTAACTATTTTCAACATTATTTGGGGGTAGGGGGAATCAACGTTTGTATCAGAAATTTTGTTGACAATTGAATAAACGATATAGAAGAAGGTCTTTGGAAACTGGTGACCATTGAAGACCGGAGAAGGTCGAACATAAACAATTATTTCTTTTTAAGAAAATGATTAAATAGGACTACCATTATATGAATAATTCCGAGCAAAAAATAAATAAAGTAAACACACAAGTTTACGCAGAAAATATCTCTATTTATTATGGCAGATGGCACTACGCATATTTTAATTTTGTAGATTTTCACTGGGACATACTATATATAACGACTTATCGTATGTCCCAGATTTTCAGTTTAAACAATTTATTGTTTGTAAATAGCCTGACCTTGCTCTAAACACTATCAGGAAGGAAGGTCGTTTATATAGGATAAGAAGAGGCAAGGTCCCAGGACCGAGCCTTGGGGGACACCAGAGAGAACAGGTAGGTTGTCAGAGGTTTGACCATCAACAACGTCCTGTTGGGTGCGACCATATAAGAATGACCTAGTCCATGAGATGACCTCTGAGCTCAACACCTAGTCTGTGAAGTTTAAGGAGAAGTTTATGATGGTCGACTTTATCAAATGCTTTGCTGAAGTCCATGACAATGACATCGATCTGCTGGCCTTGCTCTAGATTGTATGAACTTCCTGGGTGAAACTGATAAGCTGGTTTCACAGCTATGTTTTGATCTGAAACCATGTTGGAAATTGCTGATAATATCATGCTTGTCATAGAAAGACATGGTATTGGAGACAATTATAAGCTCCATTAGCTTAGAAGCAATGCAGGTTAGTGATATAGGCTGTAAGTTACTAGGCTTACATTTTGGGCCTTTCTTATAAACAGGGGCAATGAACTGCGGACAGTACCAGATTTTAAGGAATTTGGAAGATGTGTGTGAGAACTGGAGGTAATTTCAGTATGAAGTTCTTTCAATAAACCTTGGGGAGAGTTGGTCGGGACCAGAGCTTTGCTCGGGTTTATAAAACCTCTGAGGAGTTTCTTACTCCTTCCTCTGTTATGTTTGATATTTGGCATTTGTTGGATGATTTTGTGGAGAAAGCAATTGTTTACATGACTGGTTTAGACTTAATGGTTGGGGGCGGAGAAGACAGACAAAATTGTTTATTTAGTATGTCTGCTTCATTTTAGGATCCAGTAAAGGTTTGATCATCACTCTTTAAAGGTGCTACTCCACAGTTTTTCTGTATTGTTTGATTTGATGAAAGAGTAGAACTTGTCTAAATACAACCAGTATGAGTTCCTTATTTCTTTTTGTATTTTACCGCTAAGCTTTTTTTTTAATTTGCTAAGCAGGGAAGGGGTATTAGACTGTTTAAATTTTGAATACAGTCGATGACGTTTCCTTATTTGGCCAATGATGTTTGGATTAAACCATGGTAGATCGTAACGTACCTTAGTTCTCTTCGAGGGGAATATGATTAAACTGAGTTGCGTTAATTCATTCTTAAATAAAATCCAGCATGTTCATTTATCTATTTAATTCTATCTATCTATTCTTCCATTAATATCAAACCCTTCGCGGGGACGAAGACATGACTCTAGACTAGTCACTTGAGAGAAAGCTATAAGATACAAGGGAATATGGGAACTAGTCCTTAGCTCTTTTGGTTTTTTTACATGCCCATTGTATAGCACTGATACATTACCTGAATTTCTTACCAATACACCTCTATTTAGGTGGGAAACACTGAAAGTGTCTCTAAAAAATCCCAAGGTTGTTGCTGGGCGGAGGCAAAATTGTGTGTGAGTGTGTGTGGGGGCTATCCTAATATTAATAAAACTGGTACAAAAATAACCGATCAACTACATTGATATATCTTACGCAGGGTATGGGGGTCCTTCCACACGAAAGGAATACAACAAACAAAAACTGCATGTCCTATGGTGACAGCTGCTCTATTTTAGGTGCACATTTTATAATACAAGTTTCTACATATTTTTCTCATAATTTCCAAATAATATGCAACCTGTGGTTTTAGACTTTAGTCGATATTTGATAAAAAAATCTTAAAATTTAATAACATAGAAGTTTTTGATGTCATATTTCACGTACACAATTTAAAAATTTGTGTTCCCTACAATTTCCAAGAAAAAAATATTTCAAGACTTCTTTTGAATACTAAATGATGCTTCTGATGCAGTTTCTACATTTTCCAGATCTTACATTTGTTTGTAACTTTCATAGTTTACTATTTCATGAGAGAGATCCATGGCAATAAAAGGATCAAGGGATTCCTAAAATAAATCTCATGCAAGGATTCATTTCATTTGAAAAAAATAGTGATTATCGATCCCTGAAGTGTAAACAATATTATCTGAAAGACTCTCTATGTATATATTCTGTGTCTATATAATTTTATTGTATTAATACATGCAGCTTCTATAGACCAAATGGTAATATGCATTGATCTATATCATGATTCAAGACAGCTAGTGAATAAAACATAAAACAACGAGAAGTACATGTAGGATGTTTACAGTTCATTATTGCTACGGATAACGAAATTTACCGTGACAAAATTTAAACATCAAATGTAAATTTTTGATGTAAATAAACATTTATGTTGACAATGAAATTATTATATAATGGATTAATGGAAGAAAATCATTGTCCGTTCGTCCGAACTTTCGCCATTTCGTCCATAATCTTAGTTTAAAAGAAAAAGCCGGTAAAAATATGTGTAGAAATGGCAAATAAAGATCGCAGAAAAGCCCATAAAACCTCAGATGTTGGCACATCCGCCGTATGTCCGTCCGTCATGTTGTTGAAGCATAAAATTTAAACACTTTCAGTAAGTAACCTAAAACGTCATGTCTGGTCACTAAGAAATACGTACAGTGTCAAAGAAACATAACTTTTGTAAAATTTTGAAATTGCTGTCCTTTTCTTTATATTTCTGAAGGACATAACGAACGAATAGGTCTATATTCATATATAGATATGTATATACATTATTCGAGAGTTCTATGTGCAACGGAACTGTCAAAGTGTTTTTTAAAGAAATTATTGCCATTTCATTTTTTTAAACTTTAATTATCGGCAATAATAAAATACTACTGTAGTCACTACACACATATTAGGGCTAATCAATTATACATGTATTCTGTAAAATAGAAAAAACATAATATACAGTTCTATCTATATATACTGTAATCAGAATCGAGGTATGAATGTTGTGTACTAAGTATTCGTTTCCTGGTGTAATATACATGGATATATAAAAATTTATTCCTGTAAACAGTGTTAATTTGCACCCAACCTGTGAAGATTGACGAATTTATTCATCTTCTTAGATCAAACAAGTTTTCAGTATAGCATTTTTCAGAAGAACTGTACTGTATTATTAAAAACTATTTTAAATAAGTTTATTTCAAAACAAATTCGTACTTACTTTTAAAACTATTTGATCAATCTATCATTTGATTATTATAAAGTCGTCTGGTTGCGTATCCACATGCGTAATCTATTATTTGACAAGATATATATATATCTGTATAGTATATCAATATATTATTGCACAATAATGTGATATAAGTCACTGTACTGTATGGTGTAGGTTTTTAAAAAAGGAAATACGAGAGTAATCGAACTTTTGTGACCCGGAAGTTAGAAATGGCGTAGTTGGAAACAGGGAATTCCGTTTAAATTAAAGAAGAAATTATGTTATTAAAATCAGCTGGGCTAGATTTTTATCCATTAAGGTCGATAAAAGTTTGTATTAAATAATATCTCAGTTTCAATTTATTGCATTAGGTCGTGTGTTTACAGATATTGTTAATTGATAATAGATATAACCAAACTCAAAGAAAATTTATTATGAATTTATCTATTTAAACTTTTTAACATTTTAACTTTCGAATTTATTGTAAGTATTTGTTACACTACTGGTCGAGGACCATCAAACGGACACTATTTGAACATTTTCCCTAGACAGATTTTAAAACTTTATAGCTAGAGATCTGAAAATTTGAGGTTCTCATAACTAACAAACTAGGTTTGTTAATTTATGATTATCATTATGTTGACACTTATATCCGAGTCTTGTCATGGAGGGTATCAAAATTAGCAGATTTTCTGAAAGATGTCCGACCAAGGGACATGTACGACGTAAGCTTAAATGGACAGTCTGACAGGTTTAATTTTTAGATTCAAGGGAGACTAATATTTAGGAAATAGATATCAATTCTGAGTGCATTGTTGTAGAATAATGCACGGTTTGAGTTCAAATGCGTAGTAATAATATAATCACGAAGGCCGATAGGCCTTAGTGATTAATTACAAAGCATTTGAACGAAAATCGTGCATTATACAATAATGCACAAAGAATTAATATCTATTTCCATTCTAACACGTCAAGAAAAAATATAATTATTATTATAAAGTTGGGCTTTATGTTTGGTGGTTAAATTTGTTTTTCGCCTCAGAGTTTCCAATAGAAATGTTTTTTAAGGCTGTTCCAGTGGGTTGAAAAAAACTGTCGTTCAATCTACCGTGTGTAGAAACATTTTCAGAATAACGAATTTTAAAACGTTCATAAAACTTTGTTTGTTTATTTTATTTCACTCTATAATTTTTCAAGCGAAATACAAATTATTAAAAGTTGAATAAATTTTAAACTTAACTCGTTTGCGACAGTAAAATATCGTATTTGATTTGATTGCTTTGCACGTGCTGTTTGGCGCTACATTGTGACGTCATGACACAACACTTTAAACGTCTGTACAGCATTAACGACT